AAATTGCAGAAAGGAAAAACAAAGTGCTGGAAACCGCCATTAAGGACAAGAATTGCATCAGTCCCAGCAGTTTGAGATTTATTCAATTCGAACCCTTTATCTTGAGCTTTCAAAATCTACCTAAAAGTTGAGTTGGCAGCTGTCAAATTTTCTTTGCTGAATGGTAAAAATAAAATAAAATTAAAAATTGCAGGCAATTAAGATGAAACATTGCATTTATAGGGACCTGAGATTTATCTCAATTCAGACCTTTTAGTTTTCTTTTAAGAAATAAAAATATATAAAATAATTGATGAAAAAATGACGTTTTACGAAATAAAATATTATTAAATTAAACGTGATCAGCATGGATAAAAAACTAAATAAGTATTTTTTTTAAAGAAAAAAAACTAATTTGTTTCTAAAAAATAGAATGAGTAATTTATAATGTACTCATATGGTAGCTGATATTGCCAATTGTCATTTTTTTTATAACCCATCCAGTTTTTCAACTAAAGATTCTTTCTTACAGTAGAACCTCCTTATGGATCATTCCTGCTCAAACATTTTTTAGCATATGAGTGTATAATTCCTGCTTAAACATTTTTTATCTGATAGCCAATGGCTAAATTTATAATTCTTTAATCTATTCTTATATTTTTATTTGAATTATTTTTATTTTTAAATATATATTGATTTTTTAATTTATTCTTTTAATAAAAGTTTTAGATCAAACTATTGAAATTAGTTGCATGATTTGAACATAATTAGTTTTTATTTTCAAAATATATTTACAAGCCAAACAAATAGAATACTTTCGTGTACAAATTACGTGATTAATTCTAATGATTTATCCTAAAAATTTTATAAAAACAATATGTTAAAAATATTAATATAAATTCTACAATAAAATTAGTTCCATTAGAGATATAAGAACAAATTAAAAAAATATATATTATAAAAAGACAAATTTAATGATTAATCCTAAACAAGTCTCTACAAAATTGAATCATATAATTAGACCTTTCATGATTGGTGGTGAACCCTGTGATTTTCAAGAATTCAACACATGTAAGTGCAGGGTCAGGTGGCTTGTAATTATCAAAGAGTATTGCATTAAATTAAGTATTACTAGTTTTTTAATTTAATGATAAAGTGATATTTATGAGTCAGTTTGTATGTCAAGGAAAATTAAAACTATTTCTTACAATTATTTAAAAGATGCAACTTATTAAAAAAAAAAAAATCCTAAATATTGATCTTAGAATTCAAATTTCAAAAATAAAGTGAGGAAAGAAACTTTTTTAAGCATCAGTTCAATCCCCAAGTTATGAACTAATTTTTACTAGTTGTCTATTATCTCAAAGTCAGCTGTGCATGTATTCTATTACTGTTGCTAACAGAAGCTGATTTTAAAAAACATGAAACCATTTTTGTTGTAAGAGAGGCACAAAGTCGTTAATGATCATTGCATTTGCCTTTTCTATTACAAAGTTTAGTTGCCTTAGAAACTCACTAGACCTTTTCAACCTTTCTGCTTCAAGAAGCAGCCTGTTTTTAGATTAATTTTATATAATCAAGCATGCGTCTGCTAATTAAACCATTTAACTTAATTTGCATTTAACAGTTTTAAACTGATGACAAATATGTAACCAGTAACCACCACTTTAAAGCTGACATCAAACTTGAGTTCTAAACAAGGCAGGATTGTCTGGCACAAAATTTGGTGATGGGTTGTCTTCAAACAGACATATAATTTGGTGATGGGTTGTCTTCAAACAGACATTAGAAACGATGCCTAACTTCTATATGTATCATGCGAGTATGTTGAATAATAGCACTAGTGTTGTTACCTAAGATGAGAATGCAATGAAAAGATAAACCAAAATCAGATAAAGTTTGTTTCGTCCAAAGCGATTGTGCACGATATGAACCAACATCAATATATTCAGCTTTCAAAGCCCAAGTTGCAATGGAATTTTAATTTTTGCTAGACCATGAAACAAGATACTGACTAAGAAATTGGCAGGTACCACAAGCACTATTTTTATCAATAATAAAACCAGCAAAATCAGCATTAGAATAGCTAAAAATCAAAAGAACTAATCTTAGCATACCAAAATCCTAAATCACTTTAGCTTGTTAAATATCGTAAAATACATTTTCTGGTATTTAAATGAGACTCTTTGGGGCATGCTTGAAAACAAGCACATATACATGCACTAATTAAATATGATATCAAGTATACTTGCTGTTAAATAAATTAAAGCATACTTCCAATCATATCTCGATATACCTTAATGTCAACATTCTTATATCAATCGACCTTGTCAAACTTTGTTGAAGTAGGCATTGATGTTGTAAAAGTTTTGAATAATCTCATTAAATTATTTATAGAATCTTATTAAATTATTTTCAAACTATAAAAATTAAGAGTCCCATCAATTTAATATTAGATATATTTGATTTCTAATTTAAGAGTATATGTAAAAAATATGCTAAATGGAAATAATGAACTTGAAATGCAAACTTTTGCAGACATGGTGTGAAATGAAATGATTAAAAATCTTGATGTGATTTTTGACATGAAAAATTAATTAGAATTTATTGTGAGATATCATTAAAATTTTGCCAAGAATTTAAAATTAAGAATCTAACAATTTAATGCTGGATCCAATTTAAGTCTTTATGACTTAATTTCAAACAAGGAACATTGTGACAAATCAAAACATGCTAAATGCAAAATATCTTAATAGTAGACATGATTCTTCGGTTGAAAATAAAAATTACTTAGCATTACCTTCTAATCTATTTTAAAATAACTATAAAATCTCATTAGACCATCATCAGTCCTTAGAGATAGAAAAGTCTCAAATAATTACAAAACAAGGACAAAACTAAAAATATAAGTTCTTGATCAGAACAATAAAAAGGTAATCTTGGTGGGCAAAATGTCAGCACACGAAACCATACATATAGCAATGCATGCGGATGTGAACCATTATATTTATTTATGATTAAAAAATATATATCTATTGCAAATATAATGCATGCTTAATTACAAAAAAAAAAAAAAAGAAAGTAAAGCCACGAAAAAAAAAAAACCTACGCAACAAATAATGGATTAAACAGACTATAAAAGAAGAAGAAGAAGAAGAATCAAACTTTCAAAACATGTTTTATTTTTCAAAATTTTGTAAAATAAGGATGCAATTACATATCCATTAAGTTAAGACACTAAAATGCAATAAAATTATCAAAATCAGGTACCAACATGACTCCATGGGAGAAGCTGTAAAGGGACACATCCTATTCTTCCTAATTCAGTCCTTAATATGTAAAATAAAAAGTATAATTGACGAGAAACTAAACTACAATACTTAAAAGAATCAAAGAAGACAATACAAGGAGTAAAATGAAAAAAAGAGCAAATATGAAAAACTGGACTTTTCTTCCTATTATCCAATTCTGTTCTAGTTTTAAGGTTTGTCACTCTGTTTCTTTTTCTCCTTATATTCTGGACATGCCTCTTTGTTTCTAACCTTATATGACAACAATATGGGAGTTAAAGCCAGTTATGGCCGAAAACATACGCATACTTATCCTGTCTTTATTCATTTATCAAACAAGAGCGACATAATTAAGCTCATCCCAGCTATCAGCCGAGTAAACTTGCACTTGGCCAGGTGAGTTTGCTGTTAGTAAGTATAGGAGAGATCCCTAGCTAGGCGTATAATTTTAACCTCAAGCACAAGCAGCTACGCACCACGATAAAATATAACAAGCTTGATTTCTTCTCACATCAACCACTATCCAAACTCGATAAATTGAGTTTCAGTCCACCCGTAAACAAGGAAAGTCAGAACACTTTTTTCCCCCATTGATTAGACCAGACTATGCAAGAAATGTCCCAAAATTAAGGTTTTATTTTTTAATTTTTATCCGATATAAGTATCTAATCTTGACTAAAAAAGGATTCTTAAACAAGTAAACAAATCTTAACTCTTAGACTTCATCTTCGTAACAGTGAAAGTTAAATCAAATTAACAATCTAGGCATAAACTCGTCGTTTGCTCCTAATCATTCATCCATGTAAAACCTAAACTAATACTACACAGAATTTCAACAAGAATTTCGTAGCTCATTTTAAAAAAAAAAAAAAAAAAAGAAGAAATGTTAGAATTCAAACCCTTTTTCAAAATTTTCTCAAGCCATCAAGAATTCGTAGTCATTAAGTATTTGATCAAGTAATATTCAATAGAGGTGATCAATGATGGTGGTCAAAGAAGGTGATCAAATTTTATGGCTTCTAATTAATTCTAGATATTTTAAATGAGGAGGTTAAATTTACTTATAATTTGACCTTTATGTTTGTAATGTGTGTATGAAAATTAAAGAGAATAAGAGAGAACAAGAGAAAGTAAGAGTGCGGTAGTTATATACTAGTATCGACTACGAAGAGAGAAATAGAATCAATTTATTGAGAGAAGATATTTTGTGTAAAGTTTTTTCTTATAATCAATATATATTAATATATTATTCTTTGAGTTTTATTTTATGAGTTCATTACATTTCGAACAAGAAAAAGGTGAATGAATGGTTGACATTAACCTTATGAGAATAAACAAACAATTCATATTAAAAATAACAATAATAAAGCGACAGCAACAACAAGCCTTTTACTTAAGAGTATGCCTTTGGAACTTTGATGGTTTTAAACCCTAATTTCAAAAATCAAATTCCCGAAACTCTCGTTTGGACTTAGAAATAGAATTGCCTCTCCCAAAGAACACCGGAACTTCGAACTCTCTTCGAAGACTAAGGGTGCATTTGTTTTAGAACTTGTTTTCCCATGTTTGTTTGGCTATCTTGAAAAAAAGTCAAAGAAGTTTTTTTCTAGTCAAGGAAAATTAAAAGACAAGTTTAGAGAAAATAACTTCCTAGATAAAAAACGAGAAAACATTTTCTCTTTGGAGCTCATTGTTGTCTATCCACTTCTCACCTAAACTCATTGGAACGGTTTACGCCTAAAGTCGACACAAAGACTTCTTAAAAACCCAATACCACCATAACAAAGCTAACACCACTATCGAGCAAACAAAGCCACGCAAAGAACGAGTTAGATCCGTTGTGATTTCTTGTAATATTGTCTTATTTATAAGATTTTTGTGTGTTTTCCTCTTTTAGATCTGATTTCTTATGTAATATTATTTGATTTCTTTATTTGTGCGTCTTCCTCTTTGAGAGTCTGTCACTTTCTTTTGTTACTCCTTCTTGTAAACTACTGCTTGTGATTTTTGGATCTTCAAAACCGAGAACCGATCCATTGGACCAAAACCTATATTAATTCTTATAGTTTTCAAGCATTAATACAACAAACATCTTGTAAAAGTTTCTATCTACGAGTGAAAGCTAACTATTAAAAATTGACTCAACAAATGGATGAATAGATGTGAATGGGATATGGAATCATATTTGTTGCTGCTATTTTATTTTACATGGAAACATTGAAATTAATATATCCTAGAGGGTCTAACCACTTAGGTGTGTTTTGTATTCAAGGGTCAATGCTCTCTTGGCGATTTTTTTGGGATATCACATTAATGTTGGCAACTTGAGAAATCAAGAAGGACGTGCTTGTTAACTAAAATTAATGGTTATTTTTGTTATACACTCATTAACTAAAATTAAACATTCTTCTAATATAAATTTATTGAGCATATTCTTCTAATATGATTAAAAAATAATTAATTGTTTGTTTTCTTTTTTTATTAATCAAAATAAAAATTATTTATAGAACATATTTAAATTAAATAAATTCTCACAATTAAAGTTAATTGATTTTTATTTTAATTATAAAATTTTTAATTATTTAAAATAATAAAAAATCATTATATAGATTTGCGAGTGATAATTTTAGCTCTATGTCTAAATAATTTAAAAATCTATTTTCGAGTGAAGATGAAATCCCCACAAAAAAGTACTGTGTACCACTAACCTAGGAGTTATTACTTAAAAAACTAAAAGAATTAGGATAAATGAAAAATAAATTACTCGTTCATTTGTCTCATTTTACTATTCATTAATGGTAATTTTGTAATTTTTATAATGGCATTTTCATAATTTTTATAGTTTTTTTGGATCTTCATTTTCAAATTTTACACTTCATTCCTTTTTGGTCCCTTATATTTTCAAAATATATTTTTAAATCCTCATATTTTTAAAAATATTTTGACATTTCATGTTTTTAACTTAGTCCATTTTTCTCTCATATTTTTTAAAAAATATATTTTTGTTCCTCATATTTTAAAAAGATATTTTTGGCATCTTATATTTTTAAATTTTAGAACAATCACATATATCAGAAGATTTTTTTTATTGGTTAAAATTAATCTCTTAAATTTGCTATTTATTATAAAAATTATGATCAAATTAAATTTTTCTTTCTTTCTTTTTCTTTAAAAAATAAATTGTTTAATTTTTTTAATTAGTGTTGACCATCGATAATTTATTTTTTATTTTATAAAATATTTTTTCATATTTTTTTTATTCTTTCTCTATTTGTTTAAACAAAAAATAAAAACAATGAAATAGAAAAATGGAGAAAAAAGCTCTTAAAAATTAAACAATTTATTTTTGAAACCAAAAGAATTAATTCATTCTTTTTTCAAAATGAGAAGAACTAATTTATAATTTAATTTTGCAATTCAAGAATCTCTTTCGTCATAAATTAAGAAGTAAAATTTATGAAAACCAATTTTTTAATAGTTTTGATTTAAATTTATTGACTTTAATATATTCCATACAACTTACATGGTTTTTTTTTAAAAAAAATTATTTATACTATATACTCGAATCTAATATATATATATATATATATATATATATATATATATATATATATATATATTGAAAATTAATAATGTATCTACATACATAACACCGATTATTTTTTATTTATTCTTTTTTTATGTTCTAGAATAAATAATTCTTAAATAAAATAATTAAAATACATATCATTAGTTTTGTTAGAAATTAATTATGAATCTTCACGCATAACATCAATTAGTTGTTATTTATTCTTTTTTATGTTCTAAAATCAATATTTTTCAAATAAAATAATAAAAATAATGTTTTGAAAGAATCTTTCAAATATTCAAATATAACATTTTATGCTAATATTATTGATTATTTTGTTAATAGATATTTATATATATATATATATATGATCTACATTAATTACGAGAAATAAGATTCTTACCCATACTACACCATATAAATTATTGACCTTATAGATATAACGATTATCCGACCACAACATAGCGCGGGTATTTAATTAGTTCAGCTATAAAAGTAAAAAAGACTCTACCTTTTTTCAATGGGCTAAGGTTTCTCCGGCCACTCTAAAATGGACCTGTTTTGAGAAACATCTTATATTATGGCTTGAATGTTTTTGTAATTGGGTCTATTGAACTTTTTTCTTTAATCTTGTAAAATGAATTAACTTGTCTCTTTAATTTCAAAAAAATAAATAATTAATCTCTATTTTTAAAATATATTCATAATTGAATCATTTTTGTCTATTTCATATTTTTTTCAATTTATCTTTTTTAGGAAATAAAAAAAAGAAGCGAGATAATATGAAAAGATCAATAAGAGAAAAAAAAACATTGTTTTTTAACTAATTAATTAATTTAAAAATTAAAATAACCATTTAATTTAAAAACTAATTTATAATTTACTCCCTTTTCCAATGAAACTTGCATTAGAAGTTTGGATGGCCTTAGCAAAATAGTGAACGAGGTACCGACTGTCAAAAATTTACGTAAAGGAAAAACAAAGTGCTGGAAACCGCCATTAAGGACAAGAATTGCATCGGTCCCATTAGTTTGAGATTTGTTCAATTCGAATAGTTTGAGCTTTCAAAATCTACCCTAGAACTTATTTTCCTATGTTTGTTTGGCTATCTTGAAAAAAAGTCAAAGAAGTTTTTTTTTTCTAGTCAAGGAAAATTAAAAGCCAAGTTTAGAGAAAATAACTTCCTAGATAGAAAACGAGAAAACATTTTCTCTTTGGAGCTCATTCATTGTCTATCCACTTCTCACCTAAACTCATTAGAACGGTTTTTGCCTAAAATCGACACAAGGATGTCTTTGCCGCCTAACGCCGCCACAACAAAGCTAACACCATCGTCGAGCAAACAAAGCCTACAAAAGAACGGTTAGATCCGGTGTGATTTCTTGTAATATTGTCTTATTTATAAGATTTGTGTGTGTTTTCCTCTTTTAGATCTAATTTCTTATGTAATATTGTTTGATTTGTTTATTTGTGTGTCTTCCTCTTTGAGAGTCCGTCACTTTCTTTTGTTACTCCTTCTTGTAAACTACTCGTTGTGTTTTTTAGATCTTCAAAACCGGAGAACCGATCCATTAGACCAAAACCTATATTAATTCTTATAGTTATCAAGTATAATACAACAAACATCTTGTAAAAGTTTCTATTTATTGTGAAAGCTAACTCGTTAAAAATTGACTCAACAAGTGGATGAATAGATGTGAATGGGATATGGAATCATATTTGTTCGTTGCTATTTTATTTTACACGAAAACATTGAAATTAATATATCCTAGAGGTTCTAATCATCCGGGTCCGTTTTGTATTCAAGGGTCAATACTCTCTTGCAGTTTTTATTGGGATATCACATTAATGTTGGCGACTTGAGAAATCAAGAAGGACGTCTTGTTGGATTCTATTATGGAGAGATGCTCATAATAATAATTTTCGGTACTTAGGTTCTATTATAAAAAAGGAAGTGCCATTAAAGAAGATCTTAGCAATAGAATCAGAATAGAATGATTAAAATGGAGAAATACAAATAGAGTTATGCATTATTTTGTAGCATTTATTAATTTCAATTATGAATTTATGAAACCATGATTAAGTTAGCTATCTAATATGATCTAAAAAAGTGATCTGCTAGATGTTAACAATTAATATATTTATGGTAGAGGCGAGTTGAGATGAGGATATTAAGATGAATGTAAAGACATGATAGGATTTATTATAAATTATTTCACCCCTAAGAGGAAAAATATTGCTGGCACCAAATGGAGAGGAAGGAACCTTGGTTTGTCTATGTGTTTAGACATGTTAGTCATGGCTTGCCGAACCTTGACTTTTTTGACCTAACAATAATAAGAATGTTTGACTATCATTAGCTTAGATCAACTTGACTTACAAGTTGTAAAAAAGAAAGAAAATGTATTATGTCCGTTTATCTTTTGCATATCCATTCTTAATAGTTGTACTAATTCATTATCCAAAGTAGGATCCGGCGTTTTTCCTTTAGCGTTCATAGTGTTTTTCAACTCATATTATATCTAATTCTAATATAAGCCACTTAATGCTTGTTCTTTGAATTATTGGATGGGCTAGTTATGCACACACTATTTCAATTGACGATCTTCATAAGATTAAGACATTAAATTGACACACATAGCAGCTTTTTTGTGCTAACAAGGCACGAGTTCACTCGGGATCATGGGATTATGCTTGTTTGGTTGCAATTTTTTTTTTATGTTGCTTCATTTTGACTTTTTTCTATTATTGAAGTTACCATGTTGGATCCCCTTGGATAGGTTATTTCGGATGCGGGACATTCTACTAAAGAACTGGGAATAACCGCGAGCTTGTGGTCGGAAATGAGAAACTCAAAAACATGTTTGAGTTAGGAATAGGAATACTTGACTATCATTAGGAGTTTTATAGATCTAGTCTTTCTTACTTCCTACTTGCATCACAAAGTTTCAACATGCATCATTAACTCGTTGTACTTCAAAAATTAATTATTTGAGTTAATAGTCATTAGCCAAAGAAAACTTAAGGTGTGTACATGGAAAGATACTACTTACAAAATTCATCTCTTCATTTTTTTCAATGTCTCTCCTCGCTTAGGTTGTTCACTATACATTTTAATTGAAAAATTCGGGGTATGATGTTTTTGTTTAATCTCTCGTTTTATTGTTCAATTGGTTTGGATCACTAGATAGGGTATCCTTTACCTATTCCTAAATCTCCTTCCATCATTGTTTTGGTTTGATATTCCTAGACCTCCAAATGGAAATCTTTAGTTTTTAACCATTTGGTTAAGTTATAAACTTAGCAATGATTTTTCTCTCATTATGTTCCTCTACATCACTTCTTTGACTATGAATTTAGCTTTCGAGCACGTATCGATGTAAAATCTAGGTCGAAATGGCACGATGGAGGCAGAGGTAAAGGCTAAGGATGTGAGCAAGAGAAAGGTCACAAGGAGAGAAGACATTTTTTTTTTTAATTTTCACACACCATAGGATAATTGATAGCTTATGATCGAGAGATATAGGCTAATTTTGGTGTTTGGCATATGGACTTTTAATGTTGTAGGACATATGTATTTATATATGTATCATGCATGGAATTTTATGTATGGCATGTTACGAGCATGTCATGAGATGATGAGATGATTGTATGATTTAAGAATACTTTTGGTAAATCCATCTAAATGTGCATATAAGATAATATTTCTATCAAATTATTATTTAATACCTAACTTCATTCAAATACAATGAATAAACAAAAATCACTTTACACGTGTGCGAATGCATTTGAGAAAATCGAATGACATGATGGGGCATAGGAAAAGTGGTTTAGATTCTTTTGTGTGTAGATGTCAAGAGAGCATAATTTTTGTTAAGACACTAGGAGGCAAGATAGGCCAATTGGCTATTGAATTTGGAATAAGATGGATCTTTAACTGAAAGTGTCCACGGGTTTTTATGGGGGTAGAGGAAAGAAGGTTCACCATTGATATGTCGTGTCAACAATTGAGACACCTAAATTGACTAATTATTCAATTGGTTTGGATCACTTGGATAGGGTATCTCTTCCCTATTTCTAAATCTCCTTCCATCATTCTTTTGGTTTGATATTCCTAGACCTCCAAATGGAAATCTTTAGTTTTAACCGTTTGGTTAAGTTATAAACTTAGCAATGGTTTTTTGTTTTTAAGCTATGTACGAAGAAGGAAGCTTCTTGGAAAATGGACATGCAAGATTGTCGTAATTCTCTCCATTTTGTGATCCTTTTCTTTGTCATGCATGTATATAATGTAAGTGATGGGTTTAAGCTCTTTAGGCAAGTTAATGAGGAAAAAAAAAGTATTTTAGAAAGGTGCACTAATAGTAGGATTTGATTGAGACTATTAAAATAATAATATTTTAGAGAGATTTAAGCACTAAATTTATTATACAAACATGCATTATTTCTTTATTTATTCAACACAAGTGAAAATTAATATACATGATGAAACCCATTTTGAGTTTTGCTTTTGTTTTGATTACTTTGCCGTTGATTAAAGCTTATCATTCTCTATGCCTTAATTAGCGAAGTTTTGAAATAAAAGCCGATGCCACCCCTAACAATTTAGTTTTAAATTATAATTGCTAAATATTTTGAGTTATCATCCTCCTATATACATGTTGTAATTTTAGCAATTTCTTTTTTTTTTTTTTGTCATTTGGAGTTTATTGAATGAGTGATATGTTATTTGACTATTCACTTGTTTTTATTTTTTGAAATTCTATTTATTAGCAATGCTTGTAGAAATAAGTAACATAAAGCAAAAAAAAGCTAAAGTCGAAGGATTTAGGTGAATAAAACCTATGTCTCATATATTGTTTGAGATTTTGGTCGAGGAGGCTATAAAAGGGAATAAACCTTCTTCCACTTTCAAACAAGATAGCTTTATACGTGTAACAAAAGAAATCAACTTGAAAATTGGATTAGATTGTTCTCTTGATCATGCTAAAAATCATTTGAGGACAATAAAAAAGAATGAAAGATTATCACACAACTGTAAGAGAAAAGTGATTTTCGATGGAATGATCGATTGAAAATAATAATTGTCTCAAAACAAGTTTAAGATGAAGAGATAATGATAACATAATTTTTTCTTTTCAATACCTCAACTTGTTTTTCTATATTTATAAGATTTTTTCTAATTTCTTTTAACATACGAGCACATCTAACCATGAGAAATACTTGAACAAGAAAATTGAGATTTACAATAAAATGACTATTATTACTTGGATAAGATATGGCCGCAGGAAGTTTTGCCAAGTCTTTTAATGATATCAACTTGCTCGAAAGCTTTGAAATATAATCTATAACATTAGATGAAATTGACATTGGCAAAGGAAAAGAAGCATCGTCAACTATTATGCTTTACGAAAAGAGAAGCCATTGAAAAAGAGGCCATAAATTGAAGAATCATTTACATCCGTTTTAGTCGTGGAAGTGAGAGAAGTGGCTAAAGCAATTCGTGCTTTAACAAAAAATGAAGTTAATATAGATGAGCTTTATGATGTGGTGATAAAGATTACTAATTTTGATAATGGCATATTGAATAATGTGTTTGATTACTTAGTGCGGAATGAAAGGTTGGCTACGGCTTTTATGGCGAGAAATGAAAATTATAGAAAGCTTTGAATTGAAAAGTTCATCAATAAACATGGTGGATCATCTACATGATGTTATGTGTGACTTTCCTATTATGTATTTGAATTTGTAAGAGTATGGATTTTGTAGATAGTTTTTATGTTTTTTTGGATGTTGGATCTTTACAAGTACCTTTGTAGCTATTATTATGGATGTGAGATATTTTAATAATGTATGTTTTCCGGTGTATAAGTTGTTGTGATACGTGGATGGGATTTGACTTTTGGATTGTGAGTAATCATGAGCCAAATTGATAGAATGAAACGAACTATTTATTTTATTTATCCAACCATGTTTTTCATTATAATTTTATTATATGATCTTTTTTTTATAAATAATTATATTATATTTTTTATGTTTCGAGTTGTCATATTAAGAAATTTCAAATCAAATTTTTATCCTTTAAAATTATATTAAAATTCATCTTATAAAAAAAAATTTAAAAAAATTATAAGTAGTGTTATTTCAATTACAAAATATCACATTATTATTTATTAGTTTAAGTTTATGAATTTTAATATAAAAAGGTTCAACAAGATTAACTTTATTTCTTTTCTCATGTTAAAACTAAACTTGAAAACATACATGATGAGTTTGTAATCATGAAATTGTAGTAATAGTTACCTTGATCTTGTCATCACATGACTTGTTTGTCGTGTGTGTGTGTGTGTGTGTGTACACACACTATAGATATGAGATCTTTTAACAATTTTTATATTATAAGATTGTCAATATGCCTTGTTGAAATTCCTTCAAAACTCGTTGATATAACAATCACAGTATGTTTTTGTATTTTAATTTTCCGTATCAAACAAATACTCGCTTTTCAACATTTTTTTTATATAATTGCCAAACATCAAAAATTATTTTTTTGAAAAACAATTTTCAAAAAAAAACTTTTTCAGAATTGATTTTTCTATTAGAAATTATTTTTCATCAAACAAATAGGGCTTAATTCTCCCTTTTTTTTCTTTTTGCCGAAAAAACCTGCCTTCCCTCTGCTGCTAGAGGCAGTCCTATGCAGACCAAGGAAGCCAAGTTTTATTTAGTTAGGACCTCCACCTGTACTAGTTTTGTGCTGGTCTAATCCACACCTTAGAATTTTAATTTTTTTTTTATCTTGACATCTCAACCCTTGCGTTGAACCTCATGGGTCAAAGTTCGTTGTTTGTGAAATTAATACAGACGAGAGAAGAGAGAGAGAGAGAGAGGGCCATTTATGGCAGGAATTTTATAGGTTTTTTTTTTCAATCACTTTTTACGGCTGGAGGTACGGAAAGAGAAGGAAGGCATGTTGTTTGTTTGTCTCTGACAAGCTGGAGAATGTGAGAGACAAAACCAAGGTTGTTATTGCCTCTATTTTGTTCCTTTTTTTTTTTTTTTAAAGAAAAGCTCAAAAAGTAAAAAAGGAAGAGAAAAGACTGCAGTATCATAACCAAGGGTGAAACTACGTCATTTTATCCTCGGCTCTTATAATTATTTTGCTTATGACAAGGATTAAACGACATGTTTCATTTAAGTCAATTTTTTTCGTGTCCTATTTTTCTCGGTGTTTTCTACTTTAGTCCTTATAAATTTTTTATTTGTTTATTTATGTCCTTTTACTTTTCTATTCTTCTCGATTGCATCCCTAATAAGTTGGATATTTTTTCATCTTTTTTTTTAAATCTATTTCGGTCCTCATTTGTTTTCCTTCTTCTTCACCCCTGGGTTTTTCTTCTTTTTTTGGGTCCTATTTCTTGTTTTGTTTTTAGCTTCGTCTTGAATCTTTCTAGTGTGTTTTTCTTCTATTATTATTATTATTTTTAAATTTCGTACTAATTTTTTCCTTTTGTTTTTCTTCTAGCTATTCATTTTTCTCCCTTTTGATTAGCTTTTTTTTTTTTTTCTTTTCAACTACTTTCCTCAAAAATTAGGAAAACAAGAAATACTAGAATGCTTTAAAATTATGAAGGTTTATAAAAATACTAAAAGATTATGAAAATATCCTAGAAATTATGCAACATGTATTTTTGTTTTAATTTTTAAAACTTTTGAACAAATTTTTATGAAATGTTCAGGGAATCAAAAACATGTTACGAAGAAAATCAAGACCAAGATAAAACAATTAAGCTCTCATGCCAAGCGCTGAACATACGAAAAGAACAAGAAAAATTGCAAGGTATCTAGATCCACTAAACCGCAAAAAAAAAAAAAAAAAAAAATAGATTTGTAAATAAACAAAAACTTTAAAATCTGTTATGACAAATTTTGTTCTTGAAAACTCAAATACAATAATATGCATATTTACACATCTTTTTGGCAGCCGCAGCGAAGCAAAGACCACTCCGCTAGTTGGCCATATGCTGATGATGCCAATTGTCGTTTTAGTTTTTTTTGTTCGGTTGAATCCATTGACATGAGCAGCAGTCGTGTTAAAACATAAGAGACAAACATTTGCGCACAAAATAGCAAGACAAAGGTGTTTCTGTAAGAACAGAAAAATAGGCACATGCTACCTACCTACCTACCTGCCTGCCTATCTATATTACCCTCTTAAATTCCAATGTGCCAGGAAGGATGCTTTGACTGAAAGAAAGCTATAAAAACCTTGATATATATATTATTTTTCAAAATATACCAATTCAGATTATAAAAAAAAAACTCGTAAATATGGCATGGATTGGATTTGAATAATTAGATAAAAAAAAACTTCAAAAAAACTAATAAAAAATTATTAGATATGCTACCAGTTATGCTTCGTTTGTTTGTAAAATATTAGATTTTTATAAAAATAATTCAATCTGTTTTCAAGAATTCAATCTTATTGAGACATATTGAAATGCTAAAATCCTAGCACGTGTTAAAGTTTTATTAAGGTTTATTATTATTATTAGACGATATACACTGTCGAACTAACGATTTTATTGAAGTTTATCACCTTATATATATATATATATATTAGTATGCCACCAAACAAATCAAAAGATGTCCGAAATAATCACATTAATTATTTCAGATGATAAGCACAATCCTAAATTCTTGAGATAAATATTTTGTTATATATATCCACCATAAATATAATTAATCCTATATATAGCCTGGATTATCTACAACTTCCATTAACTAACTATTTTTTCATTATATGTGAGATCGAGAACCATCCATTTTATTAGATTTTATCCTTGATTTTAGACATTGGTCCAACATTGGAATGAAACGTAGAAAATGAGGTCGGAGAATAAATCATATCGCCGACCTCACCTCCTAACCATTTTTAGCTGTCTGTTAATAATAATGCATACGCATTTGTGTCTATTTGTTTAAGGTGGGTGTGGGTGACCCTTCAAATCACGTAAAGTTGCAAGACAGGAAGCCTGTCCTTTTCATTCCCTTAAAATTTACCTTTTCTATTACTTTTCCTACGAAGTTTGGTTGCCTTCCAAGCCCCACTGCACCTCCTCTACCTTCCTCTCCTTCACTCTTCAAGCAACCCTGTTCTTAGATATTCAATTTTATAAGCAAGAACATTGTCCATGAATTTGGACCAAGCATCCACTGACAGCAAGCTTGAGTTCTAAAAAAGCTATGGTCGAGTGGCACAAAGTTTGGCGTTGGGTTCCTTTTTTTTTTTAAAAAAAAAATTGTTGAAGAGAATAGCTTTTTGCCCTGTATGTTCCTCCGGATTGAAGATTTTTCAATTTTATTTATAATAAAATGTATGTATTTTTAGATCACATTATGTATATTAATGGAGATTTAATTTTTTCTTTATATAATATGAAAAATATATTTTTATATCAATTTAGTATATTTAGAGAAATTTTATTCAATTCAATACTGATTTTAAAATTCGAATTAAAAAAAATTAAAGTAGGAAACACACGTTTGGTTTTAACTATCAAAACAAATTTTTAGCGTTTGTCAAACATTTTCAAAAAGATTTTTTTTTTAATTTTTAAATACTTGGCCGGTAATCCTTTTATGATTTTTTTTTTTTTTTGTTAGAACATTCCTTCTATATTTTTAGCTTCCACTGTTGGATTGCCATTGACAAACAAGGGCATAAAAGTATATAACGGTTTAAATATATTAATCGGATGGTCCAACAAGCATATAATTTTGATTTGGGAATCTTTCTTTCCGAAAATATTTTCCTCTAAAAAACAAAAAAAACCAGTAATGAATTATTTATATAAAAAATTGTTGTAACTATTGAATAAGTGAGAATTTGAGGTTAGTGGAGTTCGGAAGTGGATGTGCTTGATCCCCACTTCATATAATCCACTATGATTCAACTCCAAGGTTAGACCATGAGGGATATATTTTATAAAAAAATCTCTCAAGTAACATGCTTTTAATTTGGACAGAACCTAGTTTCAATACATGTAAAATCTAATTAAAAATATCGTTCAATTACTAAGTTTTTTTAAAAACAAATCTTTCATTTATTTTTATTATTTTTATTTAAGAAAAGAGTATCTTTCAATCAGTTTATATACTAATGGAAGTGATTTAATAAATTTTTTCGTTAATGCAGATTTTAAAATTTAAATCTGAAAGATGGAATCAAGCCCTTATTAGTATTAAAAGAAAAACAGAATCTATGCTTATACGAATAAAAAACGAAAGAAAGAAAACAAAAACCCACAACTCACAACTGTTTTTAGTAATTCACACACGCACGAAGAGAAGAGCCATCCAGGTAGACAGAGAGAGACAACAGGCGTGGGTTTGCAGAAGCCAAGCAAGCCAAAAAAAGATGAAGAAGGAAAAAAATATATATATAAAACACAAAACGATGTTTTTTTTGTTGGTTATTGAAAGGAAAAACAAGCACACCGAAATCCAAATAGAAGCATACTAGCTAACAATAACAAGTAAAAAATAACAACAACAAAGTTTTCTTCTTTCTTTCTTTCTTTTTTTCCCCTCTTAAAAACAAAGATAAAGCATTCATCTTTCTTCAGAAACAGATACAGTTACAGAACACAAAACAGATACACAGACTGTTCTTTCTTCCCCTTGTTTTCTTCTTCTTACCTTCTGTCTCTGTTTTTTTTTTTTAATATAATATACAAAAAAAGTTTTAAACTTTATTATAGTGGTTATAAGAGAGAGAAAAACTAAGAGAAGAGAGAGATCAACGTAACCGTTTCAAATCTCTATGGAGCAGCTTGTTAACTTTATTATACGGCCTCCCAGGTATTAAATTTCTCTTCTTTCCTTCAATTTTTATTAATTTCTATCTGGATTTTGTTTTTTTGGTTGATGATTAGAAATGGGAAGAGGAAAGTTTTCGTTTTGAATCTTGCCTGTTTCCTATCTGGGTTTGATGAAAAATTGGAAACCCTTTTCTCAAAGGTGATTAATTTTTATATATCTTTTGTCAGGACAGCATGAGATTCAAATTTGATTTTACTTTTTATCAGTTTTTTGCTTGGCAACCAAAAGGGGTTTTTGGTTTTGATTTATTATTGGGAATTTAAAGAATATTAACTCTGGCTCTTTCCTTTTGTGTGATTTTTTCAGAATCCAAGATCTTTCTGTGCTAATCTCTCTCTCTCTCTCTCTCTCTCTCTTTTTGTGTGTGGTATTCTTGTGTTTAAATCCCCTATATTTATTGATTACTCAATTTCGATCTTTTGATTCCAATCCATGTATTCTGTAAGGTAGTTTTTCATTTTCATAGATGATTTCATACTGTGGTGCATAGCAGATAATCTATATTGCTACTATTTTTCATATCTCTGAAAGTTGAAGGGTGCTAATTGTTGTTTCTGTATGTACTGTGTTGAATTTCAGTAGTTGTTTTGATAGGGTTCGCATGTGAGGATCAGGACCTTTTAGTTCTTTTGCCTTTATTAACTTGATTTTTCTACTTTCGTGGTATTTCACGTGATACCGGAAGTATAGACAGCAAATGAACTTTCTGGGAGTTATTAAGTTGGCAGTTGACTTGGAAATAATTGAGGCTAGATGCTGAACCAAAAATACTGAACTATTGTTGGTCAAATGTCTGTTTAAAGTCAAACACTGAGTTCGGTCATCAAAGACATCTTGTAGATCAGATGCATTCTCTTATAAGCTAATTTATATTTGATGGCTAAAAAATTGTCACATTATAGGTTCCACATATGTCTTTATTTTCATTATTTAGGAATCAGTTCTCTAGAAGAAGAAGAAATTTTTTTTTTGCATTGTTCTCTTTAAGAACACTAAGGCATTAATGGATGTTGCATGCTTAAGTGTAATGTGTTTATGCACTGCATTTCTTATTTGGCATTAAACTGAGTTGGGAAGATCTGCCCTTATTACTATATACCAGTTATATAAGCTCTATGGGATGCATCCTAGGAAATTAAAATTGTTGCTGACTATATACCTGTCAATGCGTTGGAGAATTTCATTGTTTATAATTTTTCATGATTCTGTTCATTTTTGGTATGTAGAGCTGAATACAACCCAAAACATGATTTGTTGGATCAAGAGTTCATGTTGAAAGGAAAATGGTACCAAAGAAAGGACGTTGAGGTAATTGCCACTCTATATGTGTGGAAAAAGTCAGTTTTTATGTTTGATTGTACTTTCTCTGATTTTTATGTCTTCCTCTCCTTATAGACAGGTGACTGATGAACTGTCTAAATACATCTGACATGTTAGGTTTCCCATCTTCTACTGTCATCAGCCAGATTTATATAAAAAACAGTTCAGTAAACAATTAACCCTAGCAATTGCACACAACTTATCAAGCCTAGAATGGGTTTGATGAAGTGTTCATTAAGATTTCTGAAGCTTTGATACTCAGTAACTCATCATCCATGTTACATATTTTAGGTGCTGTTTTGTAAATTGAAGCTCCTGAAATATGCCCATATAGCACAATTATTTGCTGGGTTTGGTAACCAATCATTTGCTTTACACTCTTTCTTATTGGGATCATGGAATATGGGACTGGGCAATACAGTTGCAACCTAGCCATGGTCCACGCATCCATGATCCAACTGCTTGTGACACACGTTTTACATGCATGAGAGACTCGTACAGAACTGCATTGAAAATTATTTGATCCTTCCTCATGATTGTCCCATTGAAAACATTGCAAGAGATGGAATTGAAAATGACTTTATGGTTGTAAAAGAGGACCAAATTTTTCTCTCTTCTATGCAACCTTTTTTTGCAAGGAATCAACAACTATTCAGCTTTGTTAGTAAATGAATGCTGTCTTCTTTATGCCTGCTCAGAAACTTGAAACATTTGAATTGATGCTTGGCATATGTGTAAGGTGCTTCCAATGTTTTGCAGGTTCAAAACAGTAGGGGAGATGTTCTTCAATGTAGTCATTACATGCCCATTGTTAGTCCCCAAGAAAAGCCTCTGCCCTGTGTAATATACTGTCATGGAAACAGGTAACTGGTGAATCATGGTTTATTATAATGTAGCTAGCTGTCTGAGGCACTGTATAGGTGCAATCTTCTAGTGTTCTTATATGAACTCAGAATTTTGGATGATGAAGAATGAGAATACGGATCAATTTGAAAGAGAATTTTCTACAGTCACCAAGCATATTTTATGCAAAAATAAAGTTCTTTCTCTATCTTGGTGCTAAAAATTGCCTTCCGTTTACCCTGGTGAAAATATTGTAGAGAAAGTGGGAGTGACTGGCAGCTTTATTGCAAACAATCAGCTTAATTAAGATTTTGTGTTGATGTCTTCAACTTTTTGTTTCACAGAATTGATTTTTACTAATTGGCCGCATATCTTTACTTTTGCAGTGGGTGCAGGGTTGATGCTAGTGAAGCGGCTATTATATTGCTGCCTTCAAATATCTCAGTTTTCACTCTTGATTTCTCAGGATCCGGCCTTTCTGGAGGAGATCACGTCACTCTAGGACGGAATGAAGTAAGTTATGGGCATCTTATGAAAATCTTTTCATGGAAGTTGGACACTCTTCGTGTAACTGTGTCTTTTTTTCCATTGATTGTTGAAAGTTAATCTCCTAGAAATTGTTTAGACACCACATAATTACTTATTGTTACCTTGGCACTTCAATGTTGAAAGTCACCATCTGACGTTCTTTGGTTGTTTTCTAGAAAGATGATCTCATGGCTGTCGTTAATCATTTGCGGCAAGATGGAAATGTCTCTTTGATTGGCTTATGGGGCCGTTCAATGGGTGCTGTCACTAGGTTCTGTTCAATCACTATTTTTGTTTTGTTTTGTTTTTCTTTTTTGTTTTTTCTGTTTAGTTAGTCTAGATTTATGTTGATGTGGACCTGTAGTGGTGTTAAGACCTTCCCATTTACTTATCTACCATTGGTGATGTTTCGCAGCCTGATGTATGGAGCTGAGGATCCCTCAATTGCAGGAATGGTTCTCGACAGTCCCTTTTCTGATTTGGTTGACCTGATGATGGAACTTGTGGAAACTTACAAATTTCGTTTACCCAAGTTCACTGTAAGTTTATCCATTCGGCCACATTATAGAATTACATCATTCATTGATTTACAGCCTTAGTATATTCTGTCTGATGATTTACAATAACTTGAAATAAATGAGCGTACGAGCATGTTTATTATGACAGTTTTTTAATTTAATTACATGGTTGTCCTGAAATTTAATAATTGGAAACTGCATTAGTGACATTTTCCCTGCAATCACTACTGACTCAAGTAAGTTTTACAGGAATTTTACATACACAGAGAAGTCTTTCCTCTTGATTTTATTACAGTGATGCATTTTGAAATTCAATTTTCATTTTTTTTTTTTTTGGATTTTATTGGAATTTCGATGGTTTATTGGAAACAACTCTCTACCCTGTAATTTTTTCATCTTCTTCCTATTATTAAAATCTAATTTTACTTGTAACTAGATGATTGTAGTAATTTATTTTTCCTTTAAGATTTATTGTCTAGCAACTTTTATGCATGGCCATGTTATATGTTTCTGGTACTCTGCTGTGCCCATCCATCACGGTGCTTATTTTTATCTTTGATTACACAGTCATGCTTTGTTGTTGTGTTGTTTTAGCAGGTCAGTTTTGTCGTTACAGGGGTAAGTGTTTACCTTCCATTGTGTATTGAAGGCTTTTTAACCCTTGTATTTGCCCTAATCTCATCCACAAGACTCTTTAAACCATGTACATACAATAATAATTGAGGCAATGATGAGTGAACAAATGTTCTTTGAGGACCTAGTCATGGGTGTTGTGTTGTCTCACTATGTTTATTTTTGTTGCTTGTTCTAGTTTGACATTATTTGTGTTGTGTTGTCTCACTAGGTTTTTTTTTTTGTTGCTTGTTCTAGGTGAAATTTGCTATCCAATACATGCGAAAAGCTATCCAGAAAAAGGCAAAGTTTGATATTATGGATCTGAACACCATTAAGGTTCTCTCCCTCCTGCCACTTGTACTTCTTTGTGGGGTGTTGCAAGTTGAAGCTTCTGGGTGATAAGTCAATTATCACTCTGTTCATGTTCGTAGTAGTCCCATCTGGGATGTCTTACCTTTTTTTTTTTTTTTTTTTTTTTTTTTTTTAATTTCAGTTTGATATATTCATGGTATGGGATAACCACTTGGTCAAAATGGAAAGCTAGACATAATTTAGAGTAAAGATAATAGCTAAGTCAGTTAATTGAAATTGCATTCGCTCTTAGATGAGTTAGTTTGTGACTGGTCCACTGTGTTTTCACTTTGTCCGATTTTACTAACTATATGGGGGGAACAGCTTCATAATTGTGATGATAGTTGTAGGTAGGTTTGGGACAGTTACTGGTGGATTTTATACAAGTAGTTAAGAGATGTGAAAGAAGTAGCAAACAATTTTTTTTTTTAGTGAATGAATAAGTTGAGTAGTAGTTCATTCAAATGCTTTTTGTGTCAATTTTATCATCTTACCTGTTATTCAAGAAAATAATTCCTTTACTCATTTTTGGATTACAGGTGGCAAAATCATGCTTTGTTCCAGTTTTATTTGGGCATGCCATTGATGATGATTTCATACGCCCTCATCACTCAGATCGTATATTTGAAGCTTACATGGTAAGTTTCTTCCATTTAGTGGCAAACATTTAATAGTAGTTATGCTCTAATTGTAGATAGAATTTACTTTTCTTAAAGTTTGCTCTAATTCAGGCATTTTGTAAAGTTCGTACTCATGGGAAATTGAATTTGTTTTTTTTTTTTTTTTTTTTAGTTTTAACAAAAGACGAATGAAATCTGTTCCACTCTGGTCTGATTAACCGAAAGCCTCAATCCTGAGGTTAAAGGGAAGCCACCCAGGACACAGTTGATGAGCTGCTTTTTGGCCATTGATTTCATATGTAGTTCTTTGTTCCTAGTCGTGCTAAACATTAAATATATGGCCTGTGTATCTTCGAAATTTCCGTATTTGGGGAATGATCCTCAGAGATCCTTTACAATGATTTTGATTGAAATCTCATTAAATTAGATGTGTATGGTGCTCATTTATGTTTATTGAAACTCCTGCATTTGGTTTGTTGATTTCTGTCGCCTTGCACTTTGTGTATATAATACTCTGTGAGCTTGATTTTTAATGTTGCAAATTTTGCAGGGAGACAAGAACATTATCAAGTTTGAGGGAGATCACAACTCTCCACGACCACAATTCTATTATGATTCAATAAACATTTTTTTCCACAATGTTTTACAACCTCCTGAGGATGAGGTGGGGGTAACATACTTTGAAACGATGCATGATTACTTTGGTAAGGTAAATTGAACCGCTTTCTTCTGATTGTAGGGCCTGAAATTATTGGATGCACTAGATTTCACATCAACTAGCCTTTCTGCCAATTGCTGATTGTTTTACCTTCAGGATAGTTGGAGCACTTTGCATGAAGTATATAACCCAGAATCTTCAGCTGTACATAAAGGTGTGCATTTACCTTGTGCTTCTTAGCATCTTAAAGACGATTCTGTCTAAACATTATTTGCCTGCTTGTTTTCTTTATCCTATTTGTTTGTTATTTGATGTAGAACCATCATCAAGCAGCACAGCAGATGCCATTGAACAAGTTCGGTCCAAAAATCCCATGAGTCGGATGGAGGTCAGTGATTATATAGTGTTTTTTGCGTGAAATGTTAAAAATAACTCTTTAGTGTAAAGGTTATAGGCATGTATGACATACCATATATTTAATTAACTGTTTCGTAAAGCAAGGGTTGTTCTGTTTGATGGGGATCAAATTTGAGCGCTTAGTATTTTGTATGATCCACTTCTTTCCTCTACCCATGCACTTCTGCAGAAGGGGAGAAGGACAAAAATTAATGGAACTTAACACATGTACTGCCCCCTGCACTGTTATGGGGATGAAGTTGTGCATGGAATTAGGTTAATTTCATTAACCTGGGGCGTAGTAGTGTTTTGGATACTTTTGTCTGTATTATGTTGAACTTCATAGAATTACAGTAGGGCTTCTGCTTTGATTCTGTTCAGGTTCCTAAGGATATTCAACATAAAGACAATCAATCTGAAGTTGAGGTATCCTCTTGCTCTTTGCAACAGATGGCAGTAGTGACAGTTCAGCACATTGGTTGTCTAGTTCACTCTATGAACCATATGACCTGAGCCGTGTCATTGCTGTTACCTTGTCTCTTTCCTAGGGACTGGAGTTCATACTTTTTTTTTAACACTTAACACTGGCATACTTTGTTGCAGCATGAAGAAATTGGTGATGATCATTTGCCATCATCGTCCAAAATGATTAACTTTGAAATATCCAATGGTCATCCTTATGGCCCACATGTTCCAACAACATTGGACGATGACCAATATGTGGAATACCAGTTGGATGACTTGGCAGGTTTTCCAAGTGATATAGAGGAGGAAGAAAGGGTGAGTCTTGAACATTGCATATGCAAAATGATGTTCATCTACTTGAAACCTGACTTGCTGCATATTTCAGATGTTCATGGAGGCAGTAATTGAGTCATTAAAGGACTTGGAGGTGCGACACCCCAATGCAGAGGGACAACTGGCCAGTGTCAGTCCTGCTTCTGTTAAATCCTCACAAAAAGATAAACAGGATGCATCTTCAATTGTAGAACATGGCAATCTTTTGAATACACCAACTTCCTCTTCAGTAAAGCAACACGATCCGTTGAAGACAGAATCCACTTCCTCTTCAGCTGTCAATGACCAAAATTTAGCAACTGAAGATCCTTCTCCAGCTAGAAGTGCATCATCTGTAGGAACTGCATTTGACACTCCGCCACCCATGTTGGAATCAGAAAGCACAACCACCTCTTCTTGTAGCGATACTTCAGGAAGCATCCACGGCACTACAGATACTGACTTGTCAGGTAATACAAAAGCCACATTGACTGTGGAACGGAATCCAGCAAGCCACGTTATGGATGGTTTGCTGCGTCGTTGGGATTTCAACTTGTTCCGAAATGGTAGGTGAAAACCAAAATGATTTTTAGGTTTCAAGAATGCCATGATATATTGTTTTGTAATTAAGATAGTGTCACAATTCAGTGCTGTAAAATACGCAAAAACAAAATGAAGAAAATAGATTCCATGTTTAAAGTTGATTGTGTTGGTTTTACTTGATTACTAAATTGTTGTCTCCTGTCACTTGATAGGAGGCTTGTAATGATTCTTTTTACTCCCGACCAGAGAAACACACCTGCTAATATGATTTTTATTTCACTTTGTTTTGCTAGTACGGTAGTCTGATGAAATCATTTTCAATAACAGTCAGATGTGGTAGGTGATATACTGAAACTGGAATTTGGTTCCACACCAGTTTGCTGGCATGGTTATTGATTACAAGTTGGGCATCTGGTTCTAACTCCTTGTGTTATCAAACTTGAATCTTTCATCTTCATGGGCATCATGTTACTGAAAAACCAACGTTGGTTATACTTGGTGTGGCATTGAACGTGGGAATCGTCCCGTTTGATCATTAGTGTTGTGGTTTAAAATGGGGTTAATGGATGAAGGGGTCTTTTTATTTTTCATTTTTCATCTCTATTGTCATTTTATTTTTATTTTTCATTTTAAGTTTGTTTTTTAACGTTTGATTTCTGTCTTAAGTTTGACTTTTTGTTGATTTTTTAGACTAACAGTGTTCGTAGTTTCATAATACTCTTTAAAGTGTTGTTTGGTAACAGTAAATGAAATTGAAAGTTTTATTCTTGGTTTGGTGGTATTTGGTTTAAAAAAATTGAGTGAGATTGGGAATAAACATAGTTTCATTTTTACTTGGGAGGTGAGAATAAAAATGAAGAATGATAATGATTTTTTTTTCCTTCAAAATGATATATATTATTTTTATTTATTGTATTTTAACTTTTTTTTAATCATATTTACCATCTCTACCATTGACACCACCGCTATTGTCAATGTTGGGTAAAAAAAAAAAAATTGAAAAAAAAATTATGATTATTATTATTATTATTATTATTCTGTTATTATTTTCTATTACCCTTATCAAAATATAATTTGAAAAAAAAAAAGATGAACTTGAGATTGAAGAAAATTAAAAAGACATGATAAAAATAAATAAAAAAGTAAAAAATAAAAAAAACAAAACTCCTACAATCATTAACTAGTTTAAAATGGATTCATTATTAGTTGCAAGTCTTCCCAATAACCTATCATCCCTTTTCTTTTTTTATTTTTGGGTAAGAATATTAGTATTGAAACTAAGGAATAAGCTGCTGACGGTTAGCCTGTCAACAAGCTGCATTACAAGATATGAGATCTTAGGGAGGAAGTGACAGTTGCTTCAAGATTAGCCTGATTTATTTGTAACTCTGTCTGATCTTATGGGAATGACAGAAATATCATCTGAGCCTAGTCCCTATCACATTAGCATTTTCATATAAAATACGTAGGATAATCCCTCACAGCTATATTTCCTCATTTCTTCACTTCTAAATTACATTTATCTTGAACACTAAATTACCATTAACTGCAAGATAATAATAATAATTTTTTTTTAAAAAAAAACTATCCACTGAGAACCTTGTTGGTAAAGATCATCAATCAACTTAATTCTTTATTGCATACATACATATATATATATATATATTATGTAGAGAACAAAAGAATCTCCTATAACCTGGCATTCATATTCACAAGACTATTAGTTGTTTGGAGCACAACTTTACCTATCCTCCATCAACTGCAGTGCAGTTTCAACCAGTGAGTGAATAGTTGTGCTGTGGCGGCTCAGCCCAAAAGTGCCAGAGAATATGTTGAAGCTTTCGATTTCATTCGTGGATTCTAAAACCGACTCCAATTCCTTCTCCAACCCCAGCTCCTTGAAATTATGTGCATTCGCTGCGTTGTTTCGCATCATCCAAATCGCCAACTCTATGGAAAACCTTCTTATTCTTGGAACCTTGACCGATGGATTTTCGTACTTTCTGAGAATCTGGACTACTTTGTTAGCTAGTTCACCCTCTTTTATTCCAGCTCTTTCGAACATGATGTTAAATTCTTGAGAAGTCATGAATTTGAAAGCTTCGGCCGCTAGTCCAACCATTACTTCTTGTAGTTTCTTCTCTTCTGACATTACTGCCTTCAGCACCTGTAACACGAGGGGAAAGAGTTGAAGACTAAGTACCTGTCCAGCAGTACTTATAGTTTCGATCATACAACAAAATGAAATCCTGTTTCCCATGCCTCTTCTAAAACTAGAAACCTAGTAGTATATGTGAAGTGAGCTAGAATCAGCTTCTAAATACGGGAGGAAAGCACTTACCGTGGGTACAGCAGCTACAATTCCCTTCAAATGGTCGAAGCAATCTGCTCCGCTGTAGGTGCACAAGTTTCGTAGAATTCTAGCAGCATTCACCCGAAGCAATGGGATCTCGAGTGCTCCAACAAGCCTGTCCAGTACTTGTAATTTCAAAATGCGAAGACAATTCCTTTTGCTTTCTAAGGCCAGCATTGCTAGAGCTTCTCCTGCAGCTGTTCTTACATGATTCTGATTTTCAGGGATTCTTTGGCTGAAGAAAATGTTGAATAACTCCTTAAGAACTCCACCTGTGCCCCCAATCCTCTCCGTTGCATCCTCTTCTAGTGCTAAACAGGTTAATATCTCTATGCTGAGTTTTTGTAGCATCGGTTGTTTTTCTCCATGCCGTAGAATATCTCTGATGTTGCTGATGGTGAAAACTATCTCTGACATTTCTCTTCGAAGATAATTACCTGCGGTGCCAGTTGTGCTTGCCAGCATCTTCAGCAGTTGGAGAGAACGTTTCACCGTCAAAATCTGAGATGGTGTAACATTTTCATCTCTCAACAACCTCTCTTCTGCATGTGCAAAATCAATGATTTTCGGTAGGAGCCCCCTTGTGTTTCCAATCTTCCCACAGTTATCATGGTCACGAGCAAGCTTCTTCAGGATAAGCAGTCCTAAATGATTAAATGTCCAGAATCCATAATGTTCTTGATCACAGATGATTGCCTTTTCACCGATCTCGTCAGCTGTGGTACTGCAGCCTCTATTAGTTTGGAGAAGAGTTGAGATTGACTCCAATGCGCCAGGTATTCCGGCAACCCGTAAGGAGTTCTGCTTTTTGCCTGCTAGTTTTGATAGTATCTCTGCAGCCGACCTCCTGATCCCTTCTTCCTGTGGGTTTTTCCAGTTCAATATCTCCACTAATCGTTCTATCACTGCTATATTTGTCCCAATCTTTTGGAGCGTATCCTCAGAAAACCGAGGATTCTTCGCAAATTGACGAAGGATTCTAGCTCCAATGAGCTGCTCATCGGGGGAATTGGAAGCCAATAGATCCATAGCAAAAGTAACCATGTCCATTTTCAGGCCATCAAAGATGCTTCCCTCAACACACCTAGAGTAGGCGTCGTAGAAGAACCTTCTGATCGAAACTATGCCTGAAATCCCCAAATCACACTCTTTGGTCACCTCTTCCAACAGTTTACAGTAGCTTACCTTCCACTCCCAGTAAGCTTTCTCCATCAGAAACAACAGAGCTTCTGCCAAAGCCAAAGAATAGAAAATAGTCAGGGCAGAATGTAGGTTCCTCTTGTCAGTATCCCCTTTCTCAATCTCACCATAGTTATGTTTGACGAGTTTCATCAATGATAAAACCACACAGGCTGATGCAGATGCAAGCTGGAGCCAGTAGAGAAGCTTGCTGACATTTCTTGAAAGAAATACCCATTGAGCATATGGTAGAATAGGAACATCTGAACTTGTCCATGTCCGCGTTAGCTTCCTCTGGCCACCCCAGTTGCTAGAGTTTGCTGCATCAGGATTCTCACTTATTTCTCTGGTATGTGGACTCTGCTTTCGAACTCTTGTTATCGGCCTAAAAAGTGCTTTCGCGGCTTCAATAATGAAGTGGGAGCTGGATCTCAAGGCCCGGAAACTGTTAATCCCAGCATCGGCAATTGACCAGGTGGCTTGGTGTTGCCATTCAAGCTCATGGCACCTGCTGAATATTCGAGTCCCTTCAATCAACAAAATAATGGTGATAAACCAGAAATCCGTTTTATCCAAAGCAATTGCAAATCCTCCGAGAAGAACAACTGTTGCCCAGATAAACCCGAGGGTTCCCAGGCCAGTAGCTGCCTTCTCGAAAATTCCTAGGCGGAGAGCAAAGAGTGTGAGTTTCTTCTCCGGAGCGCGTACTGCTGGTAATGTTGGAGAAACAGAATTTCCAACGCTACTGTCTTTCTTTTCTATACCACTCTGAGGCTCAAAAATGGTTGCAGAGCCATAGGTTTCGCTGAGCCTGCGAAGCTCGTCAACCGGCAAACGAATGCTGCCATCTTCTGCCGAAATGCCACGATCCATATTCACCAGATTAGACCAGCCTTTGCTTGACAGGTCTAGTGCAAAAGTTGCCTTTGACAATGCAAGAATGGCTTGATTCTTGAATTATGGTATTGAAAAATGGACTTGCTGTTTGAGCTTGTAGAAGGGAAAAAAAACAGAGAAGTTGGGCTTATAAACAAAGAGAAAAATTAACTTTTGGAGCACGTTTATTTTGTGAAAATGTAGAGAAGAGACGTTAAAAGTTTCTCTATTTCCGCAGTTTTTCCAAGGAAGTTTTGCTCAGCTTTCCCCCTCGTAACTTTCGCGGCAAGGGTTGTCCACTCTCTAGTTATGTGATGTTTTAAAGTCGGCTGTCTCTCGCTAATAAGTTTCTTGATGGAACATCTAAACTAGCCAAAAGCTCCTTCTTCTCGTAAGCAATCCTAGAAATTTAACAAACCCTTATAAAGGGTAGAATTGCAGCTGGACAGGTTGCTTGCATTTTTCCATGTCCTATTGTCTTACAATTTTGTACGGTTCAATTTATTTCTTGAGGGTACAAATGATAAGCATTGAACCATTGACTGTAATCTTTAATGCATCCAAGTAGCCTTTGATTAATCCTATGTTTGCTCTTCATGGGAACAAGTAGGGATAATTGCCAACTCATGTTCCATGTTTGAGAGATAAAGCTATTTGTGTTCTACTTCCCCACTTGTTGGCTTTATTATTCATGGAAAAAACAATTTGAACCACCCATAATTCACAATGATTCAACGAGGGAATGTATATTGCATCAATTTATGCATCAATCGAATTTAATTTTTTATTCAAATAATTTTTAAAATGTATCTTCTCAAATCAACTTAGTACATTAAAAAAAATTAATAATTTTTTTTTAAAAATATTGCCCTCTATATTCGACTTCAAAAAATGAAAGAAATGAATCATTGACCACCCGACCAATTGCCTAGCTAGGTTGTCATTACGTGAATATGATTTGTACTAATTATCTTTACTAGATGGAGGGACACCGTTCGGCACAATAAAGATTGTCTAATTTGTAGAAGAATTTTTTGACTTATTCCATCTTCTGGATTCTTAAATCCGATGGGATAGTCAAGGTCGTTAAATGTGTGAATTTAGCAATTTGTTTGGTTATCTATAACTTGCAGAAATAGATTTAGAGAAAGAGTCTTCTTGTGTCAAGGCAAAGGCTCCTGTCAATGGGATGGGACCCCAGAACCCTCCTTATCCCTTTAACGACACGAATAGCTTGGCTTTGATGTACACATTGCTTTTGTCAAACCATAATTAAAAAGACATAAGTTAGGTTGGTATGCCGTGGAACCGGATTGACAGGCCTTGGCTTGCACTTGATGATGGTGCAAGTTGATCACCTTGCTGTTGCGTGTGGTCTTCATTAGTACGAGCTTAAGCTTGGATAACATCGACTTTGATGGAAGGAAGCCAGTTCAAATCTTTGCCATAATCTAGAGATGGTAATTCGCTCCATCGGGATGTCTCAGTCCTCCCTGTCCCGTTTTTCCCTGGTCAATGCAGGGATTCTCGCGTTTTCCACATTGATCGAGGCAGGGCAGGGTGGGGCGTCCCATGAACGAGGACAGAACGAGAATGATATTTGTCTGTCTTATCGCGTTTGCCAAGGTTATCCTATTTCATTATTTTTTCTCTAAAATTATAATTATACTCTGTATAAAATCTGCGACTAATGACTTTTATAATTTATTTTCTATATAAACTATCATTTTTTTTTACTATAGTTTTAAAATTTGATAGCAGAATGAAATAAGACGTGATAGAAAAAAAAATTAATAATTTCTTTGCCCCATTTGCTCCGCCAGTGTCCCGCGGGAATCCCCATCTCCATTTGGGACCGGGATGATACGACAAATTTTACTCCGAACAGAACACAAGGTGAAGATAGGGTAAAATTTTCAATAACGGGACGGAGGCGGAGATAGCCATTGCCATTCCTACCATAATCTCTTAAAGGTCTTACATTTTGAGCTTTTTCGAAAAAAAGATGGTTGCTTTTCCTTCGTAGTGGATACCGGAATCAACACATGAGAAAGGAGATTGGGGGCAGCAAAGCCTCATCTCAAGTTGGCCCTGTGGAGAAAAAAAGGAACCAACAATAATAGAGTGACTACCATTAGCCGACTGCTATTTCTGTCAACATCCAACTTCCTATTTTTGTGTTTTTCAATGGGTTCTTCTTCAAATAAATAAAGACTGGTCCTTCAACATTAAATCGCTTGTGACAAGTAATAAGTCAATCTTCAACTTAACTGAGAGCTCCATCGTCAGCTAACTGGAAAATCCACTACAGGTCAATAGGTCATTCCAAGTTTCCAACTCCTTGAAATTTGCCGAAGACATGCTGGATAGAAATGCTATCAAATTTAAGAGATTGAAATGGAACAAGCACCTATAATAGTCTACCACCTAAAAAAATCTTTATTCCCCCTTGAATATCACATTGCCAAAAACAATTTTTACAAGTGATCTTCGACAAAAATGAAATGATTTATTGTAGTATTCATAAACTTTAAAAGGAGGTTCATTCCTGAAGTGCTGACAAACTTTGAAATGGTAAAATAAAATTATCCCATTCCTATGTCCTCTCCCATTATTGCTGATTCCAACTTAAGCCTAAACCACAAACTGCGATGGGCTCCATTACACTTACACTAGTGTTGCTTCTCACGGATGGCAGACTTTTCTGAATACTTGTCCATATGCAAGATGACTCCTTCACCAGAGCCAAGTATCTAAAGTAACTCAGTCACCAACCTTTCTGTACTTCTGTCATCCCATATCTCCTACAAGAAAAAACAATAGAATGAGTGGTCAAAAATACAAATCATTGACAAGAACGAAACTTCTTGCATGCATTTCCCATGATAAACCACCTAACTGGAAGGAAACAAAGGCCAGCTTTGGTTCAGGCATAGTGGAAGTCAGCAAAGATTGAGTAACAGAATCCTAACCCAGAAATTTTTTTACAAAAATGGGTCTTTGCTTCCAAAGTTATGAAGGTAAAGAAATTCAGAAACAATATCTAACTTTCTGATAGGTTGGCTACATCTTGGCTACGCATTTCTGTCCCTTTAAACAGAATGCCATAAAAAAGTTAGGGACTAAGACGTTGTCTGATTAAAAACAGAGTTTTTAAAGAAAAAAAGGTTTCTCCATGCCATTTCTTCTCCAATTCAATTCAGTGGGATCTTTCATTCACTAATTTAGTTTAGCCCTGGGATTTCTAAACTCAAATGGGGCTTTTAAAACACAGTTTCTCCATGGAATTTCTTCTCATTACATAAAGTTTGTGGTGATATTCAAAGAAAGAGAACCAATTATCAGTTAGATGACCACTTCATTAAAATTTATCAGAATAACAGGTTGACCAAATTTCATTACAGTTAAAAACATTTTTCACTGACAAGTTGATCAAGTCGCCACCAGCATAACCAACCACTTAACTTCTAGAATCCAACGGTCAATGAGTTATAATAATAGAGCATTAAAAAAAAAAAAAAAACTAGACAGATGTAAGATGAAATTCCAGAAGTACATGGCATAAATGAATTTGTGTTGCCTATTCCAAATGTTTGAGAAGAGGAGAACGTTTTGTTGCATGAAGTTTATTGTATTATGTAATAATAGTAAAATGATTACAGTGCTTCATGCTATGCATAAGCATTGATACTACCCTTAACTGACTTGCAAGTTTTGCGACATTGGGACCTGGATACTCAAGTTGCAATTATAAGACTTGGGATAATCATTGCAGTTGTAATAAGGACAATATATGATATAAGAGGAGAGAAAAACACATTAGAACAGCTTGGTTTGAACATTGACCTGGGTTCACAAAAAAAGTTGAATATAGAACAAGGAATTGGGAAGCATTATAATCTCTTATAAACTCATTTCTTTATAACATCAATTCAATTTTAATTGTGCATCTTTAGGATACATTACGCTTAGCCATCCATCTGTCAATCTGCATCCTCTTAGCTGACCTCAGCTAGTTTAGGAATGAAGCTTAGTTTAGACTGACCGAGTAATAAACAAGTTGGTATGGAACAATAAGTCAAGTCAATTAAGTTCTGGTTAATTCCTAAGCTTGGTTAGATTCACAGCGGATATCAATTAGGGTTTCACTGGATACAGAAACAGAATTCATCAAAACCATAAAATGAACAAAAGAACTCCATCCAATCCTAACCTTCAAGCATACACTCAGATTATCACATCATAGAACTCACAATGATAACTTTCAAATGCACACATTCTTTGAAGTTCCATTTTAACTACTATTATGCAGCATTAACTATCATATGAGAACTCAAAAGGAGCACCCAAAAAATAACGTCACAGAATAAAAACAATGGCTCTAAAAAGAATTGGCATCAATGAACAGGTGCTTGCCTATTCCAAATGTATGAAGAGAGGTGAATGATGTCTTATTGCAGAAAGGTTTTTTCCGGTTATCTGAAAGCAGTAAAAATGAATGTAATTGTCCATGAAATATATAAAGGATGCAATCCACCCTTAACCAAACCAATGCAAAATGCTTAGAAAGGCTTGCTGTTGTGAGACATAGGGACTGAAAGACTAATTGTGCAGTTATACGACATCAGGATAGCATTACAGTTGCATAAGAATGAACCTACAAAAAAGAAGAGAAAGAAACAAAGAAAGGTGCCAGGTTTGGAGATAAACCTACATCCGCAGATGGAGATAGTACAAAATTTTGGCGATAGAACAAGAATCTGCAAATCATTGCAATCTCTTCTAAACTGTAATCCTAGTATGCCCATCGCTCTAGAACAGTCAATTCAACTAACATGGAGAATTTCATGCAATACAATGCACTTGTTATGTTACACTGCATCTTTTTCCAATACAATAGACTCATCCATCCATCACCTATCTGCATACTCGTAGCTGACCTCCACTAGTTTGGGAACAAGGCTTTGTTAAGTTTAAGAGTATAATGAAAAATTTAGTATAGTTCCCCAGACAAGTCAAGTTAAGTCGGGTTCACTCCTAGCCTGATTAGATGCACAGTGGACGTCTATTAGTGTTTACACATACCAAAAAGAAAAACCAACGAGATTATGAACTGAACAATCCAACTTTATCCAACCCTGACCTTCTAACATACGTTCAGATTCTCAAGCCTTAAAAATCCATACTTATAACCTTCAAAGGCATTCTTATTATTCAATTCCAGACAAAAACTTAGAAAAACAAAACCACTGAAAGCACTGTCCATACCTCAAAATCAATACTTTAAGCCCTTAACTAAATCACAGCCCTCCTTTGCTGGACCTTGGCCTTCTCAGCATCAATAATAGATTCCACCAACTTAACTGCATCATCCAACTTCCCTTCACCATTCACTACCACATAGTCGAAATCCCTAACATGCTTCACCTCCTCTCTCGCGGTCGCAATCCTCACAAGCAAAGCCTCGCTAGTCTCAGTCTTCCTATCAATCAACCTCTCCACGAGTTCCAACTCACTCTCCGCCACTAAAAATATAAAGACAGCAGAATTCCCCAAAATCCTCCTCAAAGTCTCAGCTCCTTGTACATCGACTCTCAAAACTATGTCATGCCCTTTTGCCATAGACTCCCGAATTTGCCTTTTTGGTATCCCTTTATAATCACCATAGACAAGTGCATACTCTAACAATTCATTTCTCTCTACCATTGATAAAAATTCTTCCTTTGACACAAAATAATAATCTTTACCATCAACCTCACCTTCTCTCATTGGCCTACTAGTAGCAGTCACAACAAAATGCAAACTTTCTCTAACTTGTCTCAATTTCTTGATAACAGCATCTTTACCAACCCCACTTGGACCACTAATGACAATGATTAAAGGATTTGGAGGGGGGAAATTGGGTTAGTACTAAAAGAAGAACCCAATGAGAACTCAAGGGCACGTAGCATTTCAGGCTTTGAGGCTTTATCAGGAGGTGGAATAGTGAATTTAGGTTTCTGGGTATCAGTCATTTTGGTGTAAGTAGCAAAGAAGCTCGGTGGGGTGGAAGTGAAACGTTGAGAGAGGGAAGTGGGTTTGATGTGATTTATGAAAAGAGAGGCTTTTTGGCGGTGAAAGATTGAAGAGGAGAGAGAGGGGTTAGAGCCCGAAAGAGAGGAATAGAGTCTGCGAAACATGAGTGGATTAGGGGTTCTATACCTGGAGAAGGAGAAGCAGAAGCAGAAGCAGAAGGAGAAAGTGCAGCATGGATTTGGGACTTGAACAAGGGTTGTCCGTTTGTGGCTTTACTGTTTGAGTAAATTATAAAAGCTAAAAAAATCTAACGACCTGAACTTTAAGTACTTTAAGTGATTTAAAGTTTAGGGTTTTTAAATTTTTAATTTTTTTGAGATTTAATTTATTTAATAATTTTCAGCTATTATATTTTTTTATTAAAAAATTCAATTTTTGGTATTTTGAGTTGAAATTTTGCATACACCTTAAGAAAAAAAATCAATTCATTTTGTAGAAAAATTCCAGAATTTTTCAAAATCGAAAACTAATTTTTTAACATTAAAAATATAGAAAATAAGGAAAAATAAATAATAACTTCAAAAAGATCCTAATTTTTTTTTGGAGCCCCACATAAATATGAATGATTTCTATCATTAAATTATTTATTGTTATAAAAGAAATAATAGTAATAATAGAATTGAAGAGAAAAAAAATAAATAAATAAACTCGCTATGAAATAAAGTGAATACAAGTGATAAGAACTCTAAATAATTCTCTCAATCTCTAAAAAATACGTCTACACAAATTAATGAACAATAAAGTCTATTTATAGGCTTCAAGATTACGAAAGAAATTATTAACCATTAAACGATGCATCAATCTTTTATATTTTTTTCTTTTTCTATTTAAAAAAATCAAAATAAATTAAAAAAGAGAAAAATAGATTAAGTTAAAAATAGATTTAAAAATATAAGAAGTAAATGATTAGTTTTTGAAATTAAAAAAAAATAATTCATTCATTTTTTTAAAAAAAATTGGACTAATTTAAAATTTACTCTTTATTTTTTAGATTGGTCGTTATTTTTAGTGTATGTTTTTAGATTGATTGTTATTTTTAGTGTATGGGTAATTTTTTATTTTTATTTTTTTTTGGATAAAGCAAACGTTAAGATGATAAATTATTTGGTATTGTTATCGAAAAATTATTTGATAAAAGTTTTTCACTTTGTTTTTCATGGATCTCACTTTGTTTTTCATGGATCTCATTTTTGCGGCAAAGAGTAGAATATAATTGTTTTTGTATTAAATAATTCTTTTGGGTTATATTTTTCATAATAGTCTTGATTTACAATCCTCACTCTCAAAACAAAGAGAAACCCATGAATAATTTTAATAGTATATCTTCTTCTTCTTCTTCTTCTTCTTCTTCTTCTTTTTCTTTTATTTTCTTTTTTTTTTTTTTTTGTCTTTTTTCAACATCAATTAAAGATTTCATTGATATAAAAAGTACATAAAAAAAATACATCCTCTTTACATAATAAAGTAGGAGGAATTGAAACCTCTTTTGCTTGCATAATAAATTGGATGGACATAAAGTTGATGTAAACGTTTTTATTTTTATTCTATGATAAGTGGTATCTTCATATCAATTTGTGGATCAATCGAGTCTAATTTTTCTTTTCAAAAGATTTTAAGGGCATATCATCTCATATCTATCTAGTGCAATCAATGAAATTTAACAAATTCTCTTGAACATTGGTCCCAAAGTTTGAAATAGTTGAGACAAATAAACAAAATATAAAGATATAAAGATATCATTATGACTACATAACTTTTTTTTCAACATCGATAAAGGATTTCATTAATATAAAAAGTACATAAAAAAAATACATTCTTGTTAGTTACAAAATAAAGTAGGAGGAATAGAAACGTTTTTTACTTGTATAATAAATTGAATAGACATAAAGTTGATGTAAATTTTTTAAAAAATTTTATTCCATGGTAAGTGGTATCTTCGAATCAATTTATGAATCAATCGAGTCTAAGTTTTCTTTTTGAAGGATTTTAAGGGCACATCATCTCAATCTATCTAGTGCAATTAAAGGAATTTAATAAATTCCATTGAGCATTGGTCCCAAGGTTTGAACCATTTGAGAAAAATAAAAAACAAAATATAAAGATATTCTTATGACTACATAACTCTTTGCGAGTGGTATCATATTGTATTTATATATAGGATTTAGTATAATGCGAAAAGAGTTTGTACAATATAAAAAAATCACAATGTCTATAATACGGAAAATATAGGCAATAATATAAGAAATTACAATATATAATATAGAAAAATACATATGATTTAATACACCTCCTTAACTCTGATGAGGGTAAATGACCCACACAAAGTTTGGAAGTAAACGAAGAAATTGATCAACAATTAAAGGTTTAGTAAGAAAATCAACAATTTGATCCTAATAGAAAATGAACTTGATGTGAAGAAGACCACTTACTTAACCGATTTCATATGAAATACAAGTCAATTTCAACATGTTATAAGTATGAAAGACAAGATTGGCTTATAAGTAAGTGACACTAAGATTATCACACCAAAAAGTTGGTGGAAAGAGAGGTGAAATAGCTAGTTCATGGAGAAGAGATTAAATCTAGAACAATTCGACAAAGCACCATCAATAAGAGCTTTATATTCTATTTCAATAGAAGAGCAAGCATTGGTATGTTGTTTACCGGACTTCCAAAAGACTAGATTATTATCGAGAAAAATTACATAATCGCTCATAGATTTACAATCATCAACACTACTAGTCCATTCAGCTTTAATAAATGCATGAAGTTGAAGAAAGAGTGTCTACTAAAATGAATACCATAATGAAGAGTATGTTGGAGATAACGAAGAATGTCGTTTAACAACCATCTAATGATCTTAAAAAGAAGAAGCGAGAAATTGACAAGTTTTGTTAAAGTAAAACTAATATCGGGATGATTAAGTTCAAATATTGTAATGATCTCACAATACTTGGAAGCCTCATGAAAGAATTGTTGTTCTTGAAATTAGAAGAATCTTGTATCTCGCTAATCTATTATATAAGAAGGGGATTAAGGCTTTTTTGGAGCCCGATAAAGTTATATTATCTAAGAATGGTGCCTTTGTAGGCAAAGGGTACTCTTGTGATGACATGTTTAAACTTATTATTATGAATAAGATGAATGTTTCGCTTATATTGTTAGCTCTTCTTCCTATCATTTTATGACATGATAGATTAGCAAATGTTAATTTTGGTTCTATTAAATATATGTCAAAATATGGTTTAATCTCTTGCAATGATATTAACAATGGAAAGTGTGAAATTTATATATAAGCAAAGATGGCTAAGAAACCTTTTCTTTCAGCTTGAAAGATCTTTTGAATTATTAGGACTTCTTTACTCGATATATGTGAATTAAATAGAATTTTAACTAGAGGAGGAAATATGTATTTTATTACTTTCATTGATGATCATTCTAGATACACTTATGTGTACTTAATGAAAATTAAAGATTAAGCTTTTGACATGTTTATGTGTTATAAATCGAAGTTGAAAATCAAAGAGAAAAGAAGATTAAAGTTAGAAGAAGTGATAAGGGTGATGAATATTTTTCTACTAAATTTTCTTCTTTTTGTGAGGCTAATGGTATTATATATGAAATGAGTACACCATATACCCATAACAAAATAGTTTGGCTGAAAGAAAAAAATAAAACACTAGTTAATATGATGAATGTTATGATTTTGAATGCCGACTTACCTAATAATATATGAGGTGAAACATTGTTAACTATATGTCATATGCATAACGTAATACTTTTTAAGAAATTTAAAGTCTCTCTATATGAATTATGGAAAGGAAGAAAACCGAATCTAAATTATCTTGAGTTTAGAGTTATCTAGCCTTTTATAGAGTCTCGGATCCTAAATGAACCAAGTTAGGACCAAGAGCTCTAAAAAGTGTGTTTGTAGGATATGCTCAACATTCCAAGGCATATAGATTATTGAATTTAGAATCAATGTGATAGTTGAATCAAACGATGTTGAATTTATTGAACATAAATTCATTAATGATTATAATGCTACCATACAAACGCATGAACAAATTGATCTAAGTTTACTATCTAGTGGTAAGAGAAAAACTAAAGATACTCCTAGTGAACCTAGGAGAAGCCAAAGGACTAGAAAAGAAAAGAACTTGGATTTAGATTTTATTGATCCGTAGTCTATTGTCTTTTTAGTTAAAGGCGATAGAAAATTTATACTTAATAAAATGCCTATTTTATTAAATATAGAAGAAGATCTTAAAACCTATAGAAAAGTTATTGCATTAAAAGATGTAGCATTCTGGAAGGAGGTAATCAATGATAAAATTAACTCAATATTATCCAATAATACTTGGATGTTAGTGGATTTACCTTCCGTTTCAAAACCTATAGGTTGTAAATGGGTATTTCGTAGAAAGTATAATATTGATGGATCAATACAAACTTTTAAGGCTAGATTAGTGGCAAAAGGATTTATAAAAAAGGAAGGTACCTATTTTGACACATAAGCACCAAGTGGCTAGGATAACATTCATTAGAGTACTATTTGCTTTAACTTTTATTCATAATCTAATTTCGCATCAAATGGATTTTAAGATAGCTTTCTTGAATGGTGACTTAGATGAAAAAGTATATATGGAACAACTCGAAGGGTTTGTATTGCTTGTAAATGAGAAAAAAAAAGTATACAAATTGGTTAAATCATTATATGGTTTGAAACGGACACCAAAATAATGGCATGAAAAATTTGATTATGTTATATTGTCTTATGAATTTAAGCATAATAATACAGATAAGTGTATTTATTCTAAATTTACAAAAGAATATAGTGTTATTATATGCTTATATGTTGATGATATGCTTATATTTGGGACAAATATTGCTTGTGTAAATGAAACAAAGAAGTATTTATTCTCACTGTTTGATATGA